CGAGTCTGAGGCTTGAGCTGCATATAATATGAGGTGTGTCACAGGCTCCTCTAGCTATGCATGACCGTCCATGGCAGGCGTTCCAACAATCATTCAGGTCTGACGTGAGTAGTATGAGTGTTGCCAGTAGCCGAAGGTAACTCATTGGTCCCGATGGCGCTCACTGAATTTTCTGTGTCAATGCATAGACTTGAACTAATAGGGCGCAATAACTATCGCTTTAAGGTAGCAGCCGCCCTTTCTTCCTTTCTGCAAGGTCTACAAGGATGCACATCCAATTTGAGAAACCTGCCACCTCTCACCCTTGGCAGCGCCTGTTTCTTTTGGCTACGAGTGAGTAAATCTACAAGACCCTGGTTCTCGCAAGTTGTTTCAGGGTGCAAGCTGCAGAAAGTTCGATCTGACTTATCAGTTTCAATAAGCTGCGCCTTGGCTGGCTATGCTGTTACTTGCAAAAGACCGTCTTTATCCTCCACAATCTCAGTCTTGTCGGACTTGATCTCTTCTTTGGCTTCCTCAAGCTCAGGACTCCGGTTGTAGTACGCCAAAACTTTTCGCAAGAAAGCCGCTTCGTCTTTCAACTTGTCAAATGTTCCACTCTCCCCTACCCTCCAACCCCAATTGCCAAGCTGCACGACATAAGAGACAGTATAAACAAAGCGGCGGCAGAAAACGGGAGAGAAACTGCGTGCTTCAAGGAAGAGAGGTCCACGCTTCTGCCCTCAACAGTTGAGACACAAATTGCTCGAGCACCATCGCGAATGGCAAGATTTGATCAGCCCAACAATCGCGTCGGATGTCTTAACGAGGAATCGCCACAAAGCTACCCGTTGGCAAGTGTGTTGTTTGTTCCTTAGTCAAGCCATTCTGCCCTGGATAACCGGGTTCTAGAATTGTTGACAGTTGCTCCGCACTCCGAGTGCATCACGATCGGTCAAGCAATGAGGCACGGAAGGACGGAGAAATATAAAGAAATTGGGCTGTTAAGAACGGACTTTTGAAAAGCTACTTCACCGGGCTCTTCACGAGCTCTTTGCAAGATGGGTGGCAGGAATTCGATCGACCTGGTTTAAGCCGCTCATGGAAATGCGCTTGACAAGGCTTCTATTGTCAAAGGGACAATAACGAAGTCGTCACCACTGCGGATGCGTACCTGCACGGCGGGCGTGTTCATGCGCGCTGAGTTGTCGAGCTGCAACACGTCTTGGAGGGAGAACATGGCGGTCCGCGCGACGGACGCCACAGCCGCCCGGATGAAGGCGTGCGAGATATCGTCGTCGCTTTGGAGCCCGAAGTACTCCTTGACCTGCCAGGAAATACCGCGAAAAACCGTTGTTAAGCGGGTTGGGTTAAGAGTTGGTCAGCGCCCTTCAAGCAAGCAAGCGCCTTGGGGTGTGCATCAAATGGAGGTGATTAGCACAAAAGCCGGTCATGACGTAACATGACAATCGGCCCTCAAGAGGACTCTGTGCAAACCGCCTCAAACCTTCGAAAAAAACAGCAGATGCAGGATACAGTCAGACTGCATAATAAAGAAGCATCGAGCGGCTAACAAAAACACGTCTTGACAACGACTCTCGGCAGCTGTCTCGTCCGTTAGTCCCTTGCCCGGCGCCTTGCAATACAGACCCCATAGTTGGGGGATACACTCAGAGCGAATCAGAGAACCAGCCTCCCCTAAGTCAAGAAATTCAGCGGCACGTTGTTGCTCACGTGGGTCTTCTCCTTCTCGCCCGCCTTCTGCCACCAGCCCAGCACTGTGTCGTTGTCGTGCGTTCCCGGGTAAACCACCTGGTTGGTCTCGTGGTTGTGGGGCAGGTGCGGATTGCGGGAGTCGCCGCCGAATGCTGCGAGCAAGGCACGTGCCACGTCAGCATCCCGGTAAAGAGGCAATAATACAAATAAGGTGTGCCGTTGTTGCCACGGTGGCAACTGTGGCTAACATGGCCTTTGCAGGGGTGATGCACCTGGTCGGCTGCTGGTTATGCAAGCAAGGGTTTGTGTGAACGACCGAGACTTCCTCTTGGGACTTAGCATCTCCTCAGCCTTCTTCCTGCTACGTCCCGTTTAAGGATAACGACTGACGAAAAGACGCCGGCTTCCTTTAAACAGGCTGCAACTGCAAGTTGACCTGAAAGATGCGTCTGCGAGATGCGCTTTTAGACACAAATGAAGCCTAACGCAAGAAAAGTCTTTGCATCTTTGCGCTTGAGACAGAACAAATGCAGGAAACAAAAGCGCACACACAAGAAGAGATGTAAACGTGGCAAGACGGCCAGATATGCAGACTGGGCCAGAGCCGGCTCACCGAACAGGAGGACAGACATGCCCGGCGCCTGAATTGCCTGTCGTAGTTGCACCACATCGGTGGTGATAACACCCTGAACAACAGCAAGCGTACAGTCAGCAGGTCGGCCCCAAAGACAGCAGTCAAAGAGCTGACCAGGAAAGGTGAGACCTCTGAACGTCCACCTCGGGAACGTGGCATTCCGTGACAGCAGGTAACCTATTTAAGATCCAAAATCTTTCATATATATAACCGGTGGTCAGGCTGTCTGCACAATCTTAAACTATCTTCACAAACGACCGCAGAACTACTTGACTTCGAGCATAAGGGTTTTGAACGCTTGCCGCAAAGGCAGCGCCTCTGCCGTCCGACGAGTTCTTCGCTGTTCCTTACAGCCTACAGAAAATCACGTACTTGCATGCTAGTAGACGTCAGCCGCGCCTTTGCATTCACTAGAACGGTTTGGAGAAGAAGGGCAGCCTACTCTGGCCGGACATTCAGCAGTGGGTCACGCTTACCAGGTCCTCAGCCACGATGTCGATCTTCCCCACCGCCTTCTTGATCGCCTCGAAGAACTTCATCCTGGGGCCCATCTGCACATACAAAACAGCAAGACTTTCCTCTCTGCAGAGCTTTGGTTTCAGTATTGACGACAAATACGGAGTTCTCCTCAAAGCGAGACGCATCGAAACGGCGGAGATTTCCCGACGCCCCAGAAGGAGTGCCGTACCGATGGCGCTATATGGAAAAGGCGACGGAAATCGCAATCGAATAGTCCAAGAACATATTGTCGAGGCTCGCGACTAGAGTGCTGTGCGATGATCCATCTTCTGCAATTAGCCCTCTCTATCATCGCCAACGAAGAGCGTTTGATCCTAACAAAGGCTTGTTTATTCAATACTTGGTGGCCGAGCACCTTCCAGATTGCATGACGACATCCTAACCTTCACCAGTCGTTGACTCCTGCAACCACTGTATCCACAGCCGCGAAGACTTTCCCCACCTTCCAGGTCCCGTTCATGGCCGTCGTCTCCTCCGCGTCGATCGCCCAGTAGCCGGCCAGCCCCCGGAAATGGTCGATCCGGAACTCGTCGTACAGGTTGAACGCGCGCTTCATGCGCTGCGCCCACCACGCGTAGTTGTCCTTCTCCATGGCCTTCCAGTTGTACAGCGGGCTGCCCCACAGTTGCCCCGTCGCGCTGAACGCGTCGGGCGGGACGCCGCTCACCGCCGCGGGCTTGCCCGTCTCCTTGTCCTGCAGAGCAGCATGGCCCCATCAGCCCTCTGACATGGTTGTCGTTCTAATTTTTGATTTGTCTCGGAATGCACCTTAACCGGATATGCTGACGAAGTTATATCTGCTCTTTCCGCTCTTTTCTGTGAAATATCCCCTCGGTCCTTACTACAGCGAAGTAGTCCCAAACTTGTCTGCTGAGCGTCTCTGCCGACTATTTTGAGTGTCGATTCGTCTTTCTCTGTTAGTACACGCTGGAACGTTCGAGCAGAACAGCGTGTCCCTTACCAGCGCGAACGACTTCCTGTTGGCCCAGACGTCCGCGCTGTGGCCTCCGACGTAGATGGGCATGTCCCCCATGATCGAGATGCCGGCCTCGTTCGCGTACTTCTTCAAAGCGAGCCACTGGCGCTGGAACAGGAACTGCTGGGCTACAAACTCGTCGATCTGCAGAATGGCATATAACAACGGATTTTGGCGTCGGTCGACCCAAAAGCCCAGAAAGAATGACGTCATTCCGCAAAGTGACTTCAGGTCGTGAAGTGACTGTTTGAGAGACTTTTAGGTTTGTATGACGGGTCGAGTAGTGCGACGCTGGCATGATAGAGCCGCGGCAGGTTCAACACTTTCCGCCTGTCGTGGACCCTCATTGGCTGCCGACAGTGGAATTAAATACTGAACTTGCTGCTTGGATCCATTGTGCGCATCGGGCTGGTATGAGGTCTTCTAAGGAGGGGACACCCCAACAAGCAGAGCAAGACGAAGAGAAGTGTCCAGAGAACGACTGCTTTGGAATCGACGCGCCACTGACGACATAACGTCTCGTTGAAGGGCGAAGAACGAAAAGCGGAAGTAACTCCCAACCTCGAAGTTGGCTGATCAACCTGAACCTAGCTAGATACATCGAGAAACAGCTAACTCACATTGACCTATAAAACTCCGGTGGGGGCGCTCACAGACAAACCAGCGAACACATGTCTCGAAACCGCTTTCAAAAGCAACTGATTGGGGCGCTCACAAACTGCGCATGCTGCTTCCTGGCGTCCTTGAGCGCCTTGGGATCGCGGTCTCTCAGCGGCGCTGACCACTCCCACCAAAACTCCTTGTCCTCCGCCTGGTCGATCGCAGCAAAGAGCGCGGCGTCCTCCAGCCAGCCTGGACACAGGCGGGCAATCGATGAAAGACGAATCTTGCACATGTTCGACAGTGAAAACGTTTCCTCGCCTGGTGTATCGCAGCAAAACAGCGCAGCGTCCTCCAGCCAGCCTGGACAGAGTCGGGCAATCCTTTGGAAAAGGTGTTCGAGAAAGATTGGAAACTAGTCCAAGAGTCAAATCTCGAGACGTAGTCTTTCTTCGGTTCGATCACGGAAAACTGCACGGCGACCTCCAGCCAGCCTGGACAGACTCGGGAATCACGGAGTAATCAGTTGGGTGGTTTGAGAAATCATCCTGAAACTAAATCTCTGCGACAAGCTTGTGGACAAGAACATGGGACAAGCAAAGCGATCACAGCGGTATATTGTGGTCGTCCGCCGTTTAATAGTCGAATCCGAACCCGAATATACCCGAGAATGGGGATGAGCCAATGTAGCCAGTGCAGGAATGCCCTGCAGAAAAGGCGAGTCACGTAGGGAGGTAGGAATCGAAGCTCGAGACCCAACTTCGGATAACTAGAATGATTCAATAGTGTACTTCGACTCACTCGTGACCAAGAGGCCGAAGGGTTTATCCCACCTGAAATAGTAGGCTCCTTGCGGAACTGCTCCATCTCCTTCTTCAGCTTGCCCCCTTTGCTCAGCAGGTTCTTCGCCGCCTGGAGGAATCAACAGAAAGCTCTTTGCCCCACGACTCCTCGATTCGCCGCTTCAGCAGCTTTAAGCAAATTTCGACGTTCACTTACTTTCGCATTAAATGTACGTTTCACCAAGAGAAAGGTGCAATATCTGGGGTTTGGTAAAGTAACTCAGCAGACCAACGAAGTGATTCTGGGTGGCAATGTGAACGAGGTTCACCTTGGCAAGGATGGGGTCCTTGAGCTTCACTAGAGCAGAGTAGTCAATACGCTTCACGGGCCTGCAGAAGTGAGCCATCTCATCGCCATCTCATCAAAGGAGAGCTGGAAGATGTAATCCACGTAACAGAGCAACAAGACAGAAGCAGCTTGCAAAAAGAGATTCTATAGCTTTCGTGCCTACTTCACTAGATGGTTTGGATTCTCAACATAGGGGACTTGAGCATTGGTGACTTCTGGTATTTGAATGTGAAGTAAGACAGGATGATAATCGACTTTAGAACTGTGTGTGCTCACATTGGTTTTGGTAGGTCTGACTTCTCCAAGAGGCCCTCGTCAACAAGCTTGTCCAGGGAGATGAGGAGCGTGTTTCCGCAATTTGCATCCTGCAAGATATAACTTGTAACTCACCAGGAAACTCCGTCGTTCCCCAGACAGAAGACACGTCAGTAGACTAGATAAGAGTTGCAGCAGTGACAAGCAAGGGCCATGATTTCAACCATACTTGAGAAGCACAGGTTACAAAGAATAGAGTCCTGGTTCTCTGCACTGTACTGGAGAGACACCAGAACCAGCAGAAAATGATCTCAAAAGAACGTCTGAGAAATCACCTGTCCCGCATAAGGGGAGCCATCCTCTCCTGACTTCCGGCCTGGTGGCACAAGTGGCAGCACCTGAGAAAGATATTCCCCGTCAGATATCTTCCACCATTATGTCAATGACAAAAAAGGCTCCATGCTTCGCAGGATTACAGGCGGTAAGCACTTCTTGATGAATTCATAGATGCGCAGCGGTCAAGGAGTCATGTTCAACAGCAGTAAGCCAGAGCGTGTGTTGAAAGTTAAGGGATAATGACTCACAATTCGAAGAAGAGATCTGTTTCACTGGTATTTCTGCCAAGACCAAGGCTGATCAGATATCAACAGGCCATAAAGCAAGGTGGTTGACAACACAGAAGCACTAGCAGACACCTAAGCCCCAATACCAAAGGATACATCCCCTCTCCCTCCGCAGTTCTTTTGCCCGCGCACAGATCTGACCTTATTTGATTCAGACTTTCACGACGCGCTTTTTTGCTCCGGTCTTCTGACCTCAACCTCCTAGAAGCATGCAGACATTTGGGGCCAGAGTTGCGATCATAGCGGCAGGGTAAGTTGAAAGGGCTTCGGCAAACTATTGATCCTGAGCTGGAGCTGCAACTGTTCCTGCAATCAGTACCAGCGCTCCTTAAATAATCAAAAAGAGAGTGCGAGTCATACCTGCCATACAGTGCACCCTGTTGTCTTCAACCAGTCGATGAACTTAAAGGCCTCGTCGCCAAATTCGCCAACCCCATTGGGCCCCGGAAGTGACGTAGGATGCAGCAAGATCCCTGCTCTGCGCTTCGGCATATGCTTGGATGGATCATCATTCTCGTACCCCTTGGGAAGATCTTCCCCCACCTTGCCCTTGGCTGGCGCGCCAAATAGTCCCAGAGCTGCTTCGGCCATCTTCTTCCGACTGCCTCTGACCAGATCGCTGCCAACACCCCTTCTTCTCAAGAGATCAGCAAAAGGAGTTCGTCTACTCAAGGGCGTCAATTGGCGAGCGGAAGGAGAGAGACCAATCAAAGCAGGATGAGACGTGGTTGTTGCAGCGTTCGAGGTTGTTGCCCGGGGGACCGATGCAAGGGTGCTGATTGCTGCTTGCTGCTGCACCACCAGGGCCATCATGCTAGGGCCGCCGCAATGGCTCAGCTGATCATGAATGCAGGCGCGAGATTTGCTTCTTCAAGTTTGAGTTCTGGAGAAAGTTGATGGACCCCTCGCATCGACCCCCTTAGCGCAGAAAGCGGATCCAGAGCTACTATCAGAGGGGGTACTTTACAATGTCAACATCGCCCCCACACATAATAACCTTTACAGTTGTATTGTCAGTGCGGAAACTCCATCGCAATTCCTCTAGTTGTATCCCTTGCAGGAGAAACATGCCTGCCATGCAGTGCAAGGAGAATCGAGTCAGATCGCGACATTCCAGCTAGAAATTTGAGACGTGAAATTGAGTTGAACTTGGCCCAGGTGAGGCGAAAGCCTCAAAAGGCGGTGTTTGTAAAGCTGTGGGGTAGGATCCTAGCACGGATCGTAAGGAGTCAACACCTGCAGGCCACAATGGGGCCCTTCCACCGGGCGCTGGCTGGCATTGTCCGCCAGCTGGCTTCCAGAGGGAATGCACTTTCAAACGGATTGAATGCTGGCGATGCGCAGATGCTGAGAGGGCTCCGGATTGCCGCTGCTGCTCTTGATAGACTGACTGTCTCAGGGGGTGGTGCATTTGGCGGAGCAAGCACCTACGCATCGATCAGCGGTCCCACTTATCCTTCTGATGATCTCCACCTTGCACGAGCGGACCAATCGTTGAGAGGGACTTTTTGTAGCAGAAGGGGTTTTGCAACAGGGAAGGATCCGGAACAAGAGCTAAAGATCAGAACGACCCAGCAAATCCTGGCAGACCTGAATCTGCAGAGTAAGTAAAGCCATTCTGCAGAGACTTGCTTAATCTTCTGCAAAGTTGATGCGTCCCTCGAGCATCGAAATGACACTCTTTGCACTTTGCATGTCTTTTGCCCTTTGTGGTTTGTCGATAGGCATCAAGGTCAGCAAATTGCTGTCACCATTACCAAAAATACTGTCTGAGGTGCCTCAGGAAGTTCGCAACCTTGGCTTTTGAGTGTAGTCAATCATGCTCATGACGCGTCACGATTCTGCAGCTTGCTTTTAAGAAACTGGATGGACAAGATGTCTTTTCACCTTTGGTCACATGCTGGGCTCATTGTTGGTGCAGCATGCATCCTGGTGGCTACGTCAGTCAGTCATTGTTCGCTATCTGTTTGTGCAGGAAGCGACCTAAGAGGAACGCCAGCCAAGACATCAGAAAGGAGTGGGGACGATGCATCCTCCGGTGAAAAGGAAGTTCTGGCTGGGTTTACAGAATGGGAAGGTTCGTCCAGTAGTTCGTCTGACGACGACGACGGCAGTTCGTCGAGCGGTTCTTCGAGTTCCGACTCAGACGACGAGCTCAGTCAGGAGAACGCCGAAGCCGCCAGGCTGTGGTATCCAAAGTTCGACGAGTGGTATGCCAAGACCCAGGAAACGGTCTCTCCCACGCCGAAGCTAGTCAGCCGATTCATGTACCGGGAAGATGGCGAGCGCATCGATGCAGACAGCCCCCTGAAAGTGGAGGAGTTCTGGCCGACGCAGGACAAATTCCCAAGGGTAGACATGCCGAACGTAAAGCTCGAAACGCACGGCGAACTGCCGGCCGGGGAGCCCTCGATGGAAGAGATGATAACAAAGATGGATTTTGAGGGCGTGGAAGGTCTGCCGGCATACCAGGAAATGATTGCAATTGAGCTGTGGAGGAAGGCGGAGACGAAGCGGCTGGCGAGGGAGAGGGAACTGAAGAAGCAACTAGAGCAGGCGGCGTCGCGTGTGCGAACAGTCGACGAGTTTGGGAGGTCAGAGCAGTTCTTGTTATTCTCACTTCAAATTTCTAATTCGTTTAGACGTGGTCAGTCTTATTGTCATACCCCGCATCACACACGGTCCAGGTCCCTTCACGTCCAGCAGAACAGCCGTGCCCCCGAGAGTACTTTCCTCATTAAAAATTCTTTGTGTCTCCTTTCGAAGTACTGCTAATGGAGCTGGCGCCCTTTGGCGTACGGACCGCTGACAAATTTGGGAGATTACCTTCTTTTCCTCTTGGTGTCGTCTGCGGTCAGTCGGTTCGATGCACTGCCTTCTTGGACACCAAATTTAGTAGACTAGATCGATCACAGCAAAGAGAGTTCTATGGGAAGCAATCTGTGTTGGAGAGCTCGCTGACATCAACTTCTCTGTCCCTACTTTCTTGCATCGCACCGACCCCAGGAGAAGTCCCGAAGTCTCCGAATGCCTGACCTGGGAGGAGCTGCTTTCAGCATTCGTCCCTCAAGAACAGCGGACCTCGTCAATCATGCACACTCATGCTACTTGCAATCTAGAGCGTCTTCTTCTCCTCTGCAGATCACATGCGGTCGGCAAGCGGAAGTGCAGCATTGCGCGCGTGTGGCTCAAGGAGGGGCAGGGCACTTTCACCATCAACGGGCTGCCCCACGTGGACTACTTTCCGCAGATGGATTACCGCCTCAGCGTGCTCCAGCCGTTCTTTGAGACGTCTACCCTGGGGCAGTTTGATATCATGTGCCGAGTCAACGGAGGGGGGCTGTCAGGTGAGAACGTGATGTTGAGAACAGTTGGATGTTACAAATTGTCAGCTATTCAGCGTCATGTGAATATATTGATTGGATGTGAGCATAAGTGGCTGGAAAGAACGCGGACTTCCAAGACGTATCCTCGGAACCTGCCATTGTGTGAGAGCTTTATGGCGAATTGGTGCAGTAGCAGAGCCCTTAACAGGAAGACTTTCTGATGGGTCAATTGAGAGTCTTGATCCAGGACACTGCTAGTGTATCAAAGTTTGAGACTGCTGCTGTATTTGTGCATTAGGAGAATGACATCTGGATAGGAAGCGTGAGAGGTGCATTTGTACGGATTCTTCGCACAGACTGGCCATTACAGACCTCTCACGCATATCACTGCTTAAAGTCTGGTCGTCGGACGACTTCGAGAGCCGACTATATCGTTTCGACGGCAGATCTTGTCGACTGGTGCCGTTTGCAGCGTTGTAAGACCGAAAAAACAAGCTCGACTGAACGCTCTCAGAACTCAAACGAAAGCTCGTCTGATCCGTACTAATTGGCCTCAGATTTAATGCAGCCTGATCTCCTTGTGCAGGGCAATCGCAGGCCATCAGGCACGGCATCAGCAAAGCGCTGCAGCTGTTCGACCCGGAAATGCGACCGGCGCTGCGGTCCGGTGAGCCGCAAATCTTTTACGGCGCAATTCGGCTGACGTCGGCTGCATTAAGCAGCGCTAGTTTCTAGAATACTGAGCTGCCACATGATCAAACGGGGTGATCGAACGGCTTATAGTCTCTGAGTGATGAACTTTGAGAGTTTTGTCAAGCGGCCAGGTTCTGGAAAGGCTGCCGTCATTGTGAGCTGTTAAAGGTACCACCTTAAAGCATACGCAATCAACAACAAACGAGCTGGTTTTCCGGTCGCTTCGGGTTGGCATCTTTTTAAGGAACCAACCTTTTGTCCATTCCAGTAGAAGAAGAGCTCTCTCCCGCAGTTATGAATGCGACAGCGGCCATCTTTGCGTGTATTCATAAACGTCACACGCAACAATTTTGTGTACGTTTACTTGCGCGCTTTTGAGGTTGGTACCAATGGACCACGTGTCGATCGCGACGCCCGCCGTCAACTTGGTTTACCGTGCATTCGCCCCTTTTATGCAGCATCAGAGCTTCAGTTCCCTCCTGATGGCTCAAATTGGCGCAAAGATTGGTAGCTTGATACGAGTCATGGTAAAACTTGAGGCTTGGTTTTCAAAAGGATGCCCCCACTTGCGTTCGCTCATCAGGATATTTCTTTGTCTGCTCTGCAGCGGGACTGCTGACTCGGGATCCCAGAGTAGTGGAGCGGAAGAAACCAGGGAAGGCGAAGGCCAGAAAGAGTTTCCAGTGGGTGAAGCGGTAGTGAGGGTCGTTCCAATGCAGTATTTGTGGCTGCAGAGCACCAATTAAGCAGAGCCCTAGATTGTGCGCCAATTGATCGGCCCGGTAATCAGCGCATCTTTGCAAAATGACACACTCATCTCAGAGGCGACGATTTGACTTCCGCAATCGACTTCACTTGTTTGATTGTTCAAGGCAGGCGCATGAGACCAGTGAATTTACGAACTTCACCGGCATAATCAACTCAGCTTGCATGGGTTCGACAAGTTCGTGCCGTTAAAAAGCCTTGATTTAGGAAGCCTGGATTCATACCTGATTACTGGCCTACTGCCTGATTGTGTGATTGGCCGGATTCGGCATAAAATCTAGTCAACTTTCCAAGTGAGATTGAATGTCAAGGACTGTGATTGGCACATTGAGCCATATGAGATATACGACGTCAAGCCCCTATAAAGACCTGAAACGCTTAGCGGAAGGGTAACTCGTCCCGAGAGTTCAAAACGTCATGCAAGGTCGAGCCAACCTGCCTGACCTTTGAGCACCGTCGGTCCAAAGGCATGTGCATGTGGCAGGTTATCTCGACCTTGATTTCATGCGGGAACCAGGCTTGCATCGCACAGGCTTCCACAATGCATGGTGGAAACTTATAAGCTAGTTTAAAACCGTAAACTTAATTAGGGCCGGTTTCACTGTTGATGCACCATGTTCTTCCATTCTTCATGTGTACAGTTCATGATAGTGCTTCAACATCACAGGTGGGTCCCACTCACAGCCAAAGGATAAAGGAGGGAAAAGAGATAAACGGGGAGAAAGAGAAAAAAAGTGATCGAGATAGAATATGAATTTGTTTTTAGTGTGTTCATATATTCAAGATTATACGATCATACCTCATATGTGCTAAAAAGCCTCGATGACCGTCCAATATATTCATGCAATTCACTCTGGCCGTTCGATGAAACCATATTCAAGAGTGACGACTAAATGACGTTGCATCAAATTCAATTTGAAGCGATCGTGACCCCTCTATATTAGTGACACGCGGCCCAATCAACATCTCAAAACTTGCCAAGGTACATTCTGGTGTCATTCGGGTACATTCCGGTATCAATCTTGTACACTATGGTACACGAGGCCACAGTGTATTGGGGATTTGCTGATTGATACACGACATGTACACGATCGTGCACCACACACAGACTGCATGGTGCAGGATGCCCTGACCATGCGTTTGATGTACACATTGTGCGCACGAAACAGACCAAGAGTGTGCGCCTTCAATGCACGTCTGATGTTTGTTGCTCTGTTGCTCATCCAGCTCATCTTCGACCAGTGCAAATGTACGAGACTGGTATCGCATTTGCATGGGATTGGTACTTGAAGCATGCGCATGTGGACTGATCAGTACTCTAACATTGTGACGTTTTTGAAAGGCGGATAAGCTGCTTCTGATTGATGTTGGCACCGACAAGCGCCTTCTGATGCCTCAACACGAGCTTGTAGGGGCCAATTGATTTGCTTTGAGGTCCCGGCAGAGCGGCAGCTCACCTCAAAGTACTCCTCAATTGGTGCCAGCTGAAGCCTGTTGTCTACCCAATGCCAGATGTGTTTGAAGAACAGTCTGCTGCTGTAAGGCCGATCCTACTAGGTAGTACCTAACTCCCAAAGCAGTTTGACTTGCAGAACAAGGCTAGTTTGCAGAAATGTATTGTAACGGCACGACTGCGCACCGACTCCCGGCTGCGCGCTGAACTCGGGGCCGCGCATCGTCCGTTATTATACGCTATCGACTTATTGAATCACTACACGCCACGTGTCCAGGTTACTGCTTCACTGCGTGACCGTCCGATAAGACCCACGTGCACCGCGTGCGAGGGAACCGTCCGATAAGCTTTCGAGACTAAGCTTATGGCCGGCCGAGCACCGAAG